TATATATATATTTTTTTTTTTTGTTTCCATAAAATAATTACAAACATGCGAAAAGATTTTTCAAGAATAAAACAGAAATAATAGTCGTATTACGACTGTTAATATTATTGCCTTATATATATATATATATATATATATATATGTATATAATGTATGTGTACATATATATATATACATATGTATATATATATATATGTATACATACGTTTAATATAAACATATTATAGGATACTGTAGTGATATTAATCTTTGCTGACTAATTGTTCAAAAATTTCCATTTTATACAGAATCTACTGAAGGGGATTTTGTATAGAGAACGAATGAGAGAATATTCAATGTATTCTTTTAAAGATTCTACGAACAATCGAACATTTGTATATTTCCCATTATCATTTTGTAACGCTTCACTGTTACTTTTATGTTCATCGTCGTTTATTGTTCCGCTATAATGTATCAGAACTTGTTATTGTTTTATATTTTAATTGTATCATACCGATGGTTATCTTAAGAAAAAGAAAAGAAAAAAAAGAAGACAAAGGAACGAACGAGAAGGAGAATTTACGTACGCACATGTTTTGCGTTCAGCTTTTATTGTGAAAGATAGAATCATTTTTAGAGTACGGTAGAATTTCGTTCGCACGAACATCGTTTTATTCGAATGAAATTTCAATATCTCGAATTAAATGAACTCGTGAAACTCACTCAATAAATCCACTTATTTGAATCTGCAGTTCTATTGTATCGTGTCCTGTTTCAATCTTTCCACACAATCATCTCCCAATTGTGTTCATTATCGCGGGAACAATATTTTAAGCAAAGCTCGTTGCATTTCGTAGAAGCGATCTTACGATGATCTACCAAACTTTTTCGTCCAAAATCTCATCTTCATCTTTTCAAATGAATAGATGAGATAAATTCTGTTCAGTTTAATATTCTTTACAAAAAAGGGGAAAAAAGTATTGACCTATGTACTCCGAAGTGTTATTAATTTCTAAAGAGATATTTGAACTTTAATTTTGTAAAGTCTGTTGTAAGAATGACGATTTTTATATTTATAATGTCCCTGTCTTTCGCGCAATAGGTTTCGTAAAAATTTAATTAATCCTCCAATCTGGG